CAGAGCAAACCGCTGATTGTTTAATAAAAAATTATAATTCAAAGTTTTTTAAAAATAAAACACTCTTTTTCAGGGATGGTTATTTTCCCCAAGATCAACATCTCCTGTTGAAATTCCTGAGGTAATAATAATAATAATATTGTCAGGAGCCTGATACCGCGATGATATCTAAGTTTAGAAAAGACAATCCTAAAGTAATAATTAATGTTGGCGGACTGAAACATGAGGTAAAATTAAGAATAGAAATATGACTTATTTTCATAACAATAAAAAGCCGGAATGCGGAAATCCGGCGACAACAACTGCGGAATTACAAACTCCTTAAATATATCTTTCCCCTAGTATATATTATCTATTACCATTTTTGTTCATCAAAATTGCAGCTGACAGTAATTTTTTTCAATTTCGACTCTTTGTAAACCACAATTGTTTATATTCTGAATATTGCAACTCATAAAACATAATAATGATCCATATGTAAAATTGAAAATTTTCAGACTTAATAATTGAAAATCCAACACCTATTTTCAAAAATCCGCAAGAATACAAAAAAAGAAAAGTTTCTTTTTAGTTAATTATGTCTTAAAACGAAAGTAGAAAGTATTTTTGAATTTATTTGCCCGGGTTTAAAAAGTGGCATTTATTTATTCACAACATACTGAATTCACCGTTCATCCAAGATGTCACTTTTTATTCAAAATTGAACGCTTGAACATGCAATGTTTGAACTGACCAAAGTTTAAAGAATACAGTTTTAAATTGGGTGTGCTCCTTTTTTAAATATGAGATCACAATTGAAATTACGTCTACAGTACCTTTAATAAAGTTATTTTTTTATTTATGGACCGACTTTAATTAGCTAAATTTTCAACAACAAAAAATAGATAACATATTTCATAAAAAATTGCCAAATTCACCGCCGTTGGTAGTTATACAGTAATATGCATTTCTTTCTCAAATTCCTTGCAGTACATTTTTAAACATTTCAGCTCCCTGTACAATGTACAGTAAACACTGTATAGGATGTTAGTGAGGTACATAAATGTAGTGATTGTAAGATTAAATCAATCAAAATTAATAAAAATTAAATAAATGTAGTGTCGTAGATTTTATGCTTTTTGTAGAATATTGCAATTGAAACTCATGCTTTACGTTGTCAGGTGTTGTTCCCTAGATATGTACGTAGTAAGCAAATATAGTTGATTCACCTCTATTTTCTAGAGGCAAACCAGATGTTTAAGGGCAAGGAAACTTGAAATTAAGTGACCCCCCCCCCACAGTAGAGATGCATGTCCGATTCATAATGTACCCCTAAATCATTTATCATTTATCGAGGATAAATTAGATAGAATTTAACACTCTTCTATGATAAAAATTCGACAATAAATTCCGTAATTTGTTACTAAGATAGGAATCGGATTTGCCACTCTATAAATGGAGGGTTGGTTACTTCAGAGATTACAGTTTACAGTCTTCTCAAATAACTATGATGACAATATACTTTTCGAAGGCACATTTTGCAGCCCTTACTATAAATAGACAACCACTATTTCGCAATAAATATAGCTCAAAATAGCATATCGATCGTGATATCGAGTTTTTAAGCCGGTGAGATTTGTTGAGCCTATTGAACAAGATGTTAAGGTCGTTAATATTAATTTATAATCCCTATTTAATTCTTGGGGCCAGGTTTAATAAATAGAGAGGCATTGTTGAATCATGTGTAGACTGAGTTGAACTTTTTCTTTAGCTTTATCCGGTGTACAAGATAACTGGCTCAACTCAGTCAACCACATCTCGCTATTCACTGAATGTGGTCCCTTATTGCAGTAATGAGTAGAAAACTGGAAGACGACATTATAGAAATAGCTAAGTGTATCTAATGTTGTTACAAAGCAAATAGTTTTTCTTTAAGACTTATTAAATCACTATTTAAGTGAAACGGGCCTGTTTTTACACTGCAAAAATTGCTAGATTCTGTGCTTATTAGATTTAAGTCATAAAACTCGTCTTTCCATTTCAGAGTTTTCTGGTTATCACTGTATGTTATTTGATCCTTAAGATTTTATAGTTTAACATTAAAGGTCTTCGACATCTGGTTGCAAAGATATTAGTTTATATTAATTTAAACATTAGTGTTTGTGGCGAGTAATCAATTCCTTTCCAAAGATGAAGGGTACATTAAAGTTTATATATTAGGTGATGTGGCGAATGTTGGAGAAGAGACCCCTGACAAGGCTGGGTATGATGAGTAAGGCAAGAACTCATTCAGAGATTCTGAATTTGTGCGATGCTTACAGTTTACAGGTTAGTTTAATTATACAGTAAGAATAAGAAAACATCATTTTTAAGTTATTGGTAGCTCTAGACATGTAGATTTTACTACAATAAAGCTTCAGTTTTGAAGACGCAATAAGCAAAATTCTCATAGATTTTCGCGTGAAAGCTTGCAACAACCTTTCACCGCTTACGTTGCAACCTTTGTCAATAGATCGATTTTTTTTCAGTTTTTTATTTATAACGATTGCATATTATTCAAAAATAAGTTTTTAAATTACAAAAACGTTGGAGTAAGGTTGTTTTTAATGCGACTTTTCAGCTAAGGGACTGTACGTGTAATTTCATGTGACCCTCCATTATACATTCAAAGTTAAAAATGCAGATTCACATCGGTTCTCTTTATAGCTAGCTTTGTCTGATTACGCCTGAATTATAATTCCATTTTTAAATTGGTATTATTCCAAATTCCTCTACTAAGTTACAATTGTACATTTCTAATGTAGGAAAACAAAAAATAACTTTGATAATCAAAAACTTATAAACCAAGAAAAACAATAATATCTTCCACAATATTGATCAGATAATGAATCGGGCTTTGCAATCTTAGCTTCGCATGGAGGGTCAAACATACGCTAACAGTCCCTTCAATCTAATTTAGGATAATGAGTTTTATTTTGACCGGGACCCGGCAACCTTTAACTGTGTTCTCAACTTCTACAGGACAGAGAGATTGCATATTATTGACGAGGTAACAAACCCTTTACGAATGATTTACGAAGGGTTGGTCTTTTTGAATCATTTTTTTTTCAGCCTAGTTGTCTCTCAAAGTTTTCCTCTTGAATTGAATTTGATTAAAGTGTTTAAAAATGTCCGATCAAATAAATGTCAAATTCTATGGTCACGTTATTTACGAAATGTCAACCTTAATTTAATGTCTTTTCTATGAAAACTGTTATTCAATAAATGTCCGATCAGCTAAATGACATGTTATAAATCAATTAAATGGTTGATCTTTGAAACTATAACACAGTTATTTAAGAAATGTCCAATCTTTTAAATGTCTGATTTATGAAAACGTTATATAAGAAATGTAAGCAAATGTCTGATCTAAGAAACTATGAAGCTGTTATTTAAGAAATATCCAATTAAGCAAATGTCTGATCTATAAAACTATGAAACTGTTATTTAAGAAATGTCCGATTAAGCAAATGTCTGATATATGAAACTATTTAGCTATTATTTAATAAATGTCCAATTAATCAATGTCAGATTTATTAAAATGGTAGCTAAGAAAAGTCCGATCGATGAAAATGAAAAAGAAATAAATAATAAAAATCTCTGAAATAATATCTATCCTTGATTCAGGTTTGTATTCTGGATTTTGCTGATGATCTAGAGTTCTGGATGATTAAGGAGTTAAACCTAGAAATCTGTTGTCTAGATAAATTCAATGCAAGGTAGTTTTTTTCCTATTACAGCCATTGTTCATTGCTCGGAATTTTTTCCGTTTCAAGTGACCCTCTATGCAAAGATTACAATGCCTGCGTTTTCTGATCAAGTATAACTTAGATATCAATGTTTATAATTTTGTTTTCAACTGCGGTTTCACATTTTTACTGCAGGAAAACATATAATCAGATTAAAACACTTTAAACTTAGAAAAACGACAATATCTGCCCCATTATTAATCAGATAAAGGTTTGAAGGGTATACGTACGTATGGAGAGCCACTTGAAGTTACGCTTACAGTCCCTTTAATTAAGTGGATCATCTTATTAAAAATCAATCAATCGGACAACCAATCAACCAGAATATCCTTCAATCAATTGGTTTTTTAATCAACAAATCAATCAATAAGTTTTTCACCAACTTATCAATTATTAAATAAATGAATAAGTCACTCAAAAAACTACTCAATTAATATATCTATCAATCAATTTGTCTTTTAACAAACCAATTAATTAATAAGGTTTACAACCATGCAACCGATAAATTGTTTAACGAATCAATCAATTGATGTTTCTGTCAGTCACCAATCTATAACTAAATCAAAATCAATCGATCAAAAATATAATCTATTGATATATCTTTTTACAAACCAATCAATTAATAAATCAACCAATCAATTAATGTGTCTATTACCAAACCAATCATTAAATGCATTGATCAATGAATCAATCAACCAAGAAATCAACCAATATATCTAGCAATCAAAAAACCCATTAATTAATACGTCTATTAAGAAACAAAAAATCAATCAATGAACCGATCAACCAATGTATCTTATCAATCCACCCATCAATGCCTCCTGTATATTTAGGAGGGAGCATATTTTGCAGGAGGTTGAGAAGGAGAAGATGACCCAAGGAGAGGAAAAGGAGGTTGAAGAAGATTTTGGGGACGGATACTTTGCTCAGTATCAGAAAGGTATATACCCCCCCCCCCCCAAATAAAAAGGGACTGTAGACGTAATTTCAAGTGATTTTATGTTTATTTAAAGAGTGGGATAACGGTAGCCTGTAAATCTGTCTGAGCAACAATGAATTTTTCTGTAAAAATAAATTGCTGAATCTTGACAATTTCCCTTTTTCTCCTATGTTTCATAAATCCGCGACCATAATTCTCTTTGAGGAAGAACATAAATTTAAGATCATCAAATTGGGATAAATCGTTAGTTTTGACTCGGAAAGAGGTTAAAAGGAGACCAGTGAGAATTGGACATGCCTCTCTATAAATGGAGAGTCAATTGAATTTACAGCTTCAGTCTTTTTAAACAAGAGTTACAGGGTAAAACTTTAAACCTGCAGTCCTTTTTAAATACTGAGCTACGGGTCCGATCCCATCGATCCAGCCACCCAGTGCATAACACGTGCTGGGTCGACTACACACATGGTATGCAAGACCCTCCGGTACCAGTGCACTGGAAACTCCGGTTCATTTCAAGCACCGGGCCAACTTTGAACCTTCTAGATACGGTCACTCCCTTTAACAAGGATTATTTCCGATCCACCTTTTGCTGATTAAAATGTAAGAGAAATTTTGTTTTTCTTGCTTGAAGTGAGTTTCAAGCATAAATCCCAAAGTAACATAAATAAAAAAAATCCTAATTGATAATTTTCAATAAGAAAATCATGAATAGCTTATTAATGCTTGATCTGACACAGCTTTTAAGGGTACCGTTGTGAATCAGACACGAAAATCTATATTTGAAAGGACCATTGAAATTATGTCTACAGTCCCTTTGAGTTTCCTCTGTGACCTCTTCCGCACTTGAAATCCTTTCCCAAGTTTCCACAAAAAGTTAGAAAATAAAATTTTGTAAAAAACACATTCCAATATTTACTCTTCTCAATAAGGGCAGAAATTCTCAAAAAAAAAAAACTTAAGGAAGACAAAAATTTTAAACTTAACCAATTTATAAGAACTCTGTCTTCTTAGAACAAGAATATATGCTTAGTTCAACTAGAAATATTATTTATGTATTTGTTTATTTATTTATTTTCGTACACAAAGGTTATGGTACAGATCAAATAGATTATAGTAGAATAGAGGGCAACGTAGAATTTGTACACTCTCAGTACAGCTGTATTCTACGTCACAAGTGTCAACTTAGTTTTTGTGTCCGACAAAATTATAAATAATAGTGATAATTTTAGAATAAAGTGATTGTCTTACAATAAAATAATTGAAATTTTATGTTTTTTTCTTTTCTTTTTTACACTTTTTTATTTCATTTTGGAAATATGTCAACTAATGTGAGAAAACTTTGTTTTCCTTGTTATATTTGACACTTGTGACGTCATGTAAAAGTTGTCAATTTCTCTGTTACCACCTATTGTACTTGATAATCTATTTGGTACAGATATATAAGGGTTATAAATATAAAAACAATGTTTTATATATACAGATGAAATCAGTCAGAACATAAAATGTTTATAAAATCTACAATTTGATTGTTCTCTACTCCGTTGATAAATAGCTCATTAGACCTGGCATCTAAAAGTTCTAACAAAATTTTTTTTAACCTTTAAAATGGTTTTAAAATCTAACAATATATTTACAAAAGGTTTAACAGTAGAAAACTACCTGATTGTACCCGAAAATTAATATATATATATATTGCAGGCTAAAGATATCTACGGGAATGCAGTGGATAATCCTAAACTGGCGCTCATAGAAGCAATATGCATATCTTACTTCACCATAGGCAATTCAACTCTTATTAAAACTATCCTAAACCTGATTATTTTGAAAATATCATTAACTAGAAAAATGTGGTTCAAAATTTAACTTATCATCAATATTGTATTTACTCTATGTAAGGTAAAATTAATCTGTAATATCCAACAAAAGGATGCTATGAAAACTGACCTAGAGGAAACAGAGCTAAAGGGTATCCGTACTCCGCACTAAGTTTCACCTCCCCGCGCGTTTTTACAAATTTAAATCGACTCTTCAATAAAAAAAACGTCTAACCCCTATCTAACATACCCAGCTAACCTTAACCTACTTTAATGTACGGTCTAATACAATTTTAGGTAAGAAAACCCTTAGATCAGTTTCCACTAGTTCAGATACTTAAATCAAGGGCTTGCAATTGGTTTCAGAATATTTGCTGCGATTGGCTGGAAGTCCAAAGAAAACTGATTTCTTGAAGGGAACCATGAATGTGATTGATTCTATGGCTATAGCACCGTATTATCTCACACTGTTTTTTATGCCTCAGCCTGAAATGGGCCCAATAGGTGAGTTCAAGAATCAACTCAGACTCTAATTTTATCTTTACAACCTGATGGTGTACACCCTATAATATGGTACTGTCTTATCAAATGAAGATCTAACACATTCGGTTGAAAATAAAATGAAGAATAAAAATTAAGTTTGAGCTGCGAGTAATGACTTCCTTCAAAATTCAAATGTGAAAACTGTCAGGGGTAACATATTTAAAAATTAGAATCAACACACAATATAATCAAAACTAAATTCAAGACAAAATCCTTACTTGTTTTTATGTGATAAGTTTCTCAGGAATTTAAAAAAGATGAATCTACAGGGTTACCTACAAATGCCCCCTATAATCCTAAATATTGTAGATATGACTAGAGGAACTACAAATGCTCCCTATGATCCTAAATATTGTAGATATGACTAGAGGGACTAAAAATGCTCCCTATGATCCTAAATATTGTAGAAATGACTAGAGGGACTACAAATGCCCCCTATAATCCTAAATATTGTAGATATGACTGGAGGGACTACAAATACTCCCTATAATCCTAAATATTGTAGATATGACTGGAGGGACTATAAATGCTCCCTATAATCCTAAATATTGTAGATATGACTGGAGGGACTACAAATGCTCACTATGATCCTAAATATTGTAGATATGACTGGAGGGACTACAAATGCTCCCTATAATCCTAAATATTGTAGATATGACTGGAGGGGCTACAAATACTCCCTATAATCCATAATTATTGTAGATATGACTGGAGGAACTACAAATGCTCCCTATAATCCTAAATATTGTAGATATGACTGGAGGAACTACAAATGCTCCCTATAATCCTAAATATTGTAGATATGACTGTAGGGACTACAAATACTCCGTATGATCCTAAATGTTGTAGATATGACTGGAGGAACTACAAATGCTCCCTATGATCCTAAATATTGTAGGTATGACTGGAGGGACTACAAATGCTCCCTATGATCCTAAATATTGTAGATATGACTGGAGGAACTACAAATGCTCCCTATGATCCTAAATATTGTAGATATGACTGGAGGGACTACAAATGCTCCCTATGATCCTAAAGATGACGAAGGAGGGTTTGGAGATGTTGGTAGAATTATGCAGGTTTGTTTCTATTCAATTATTTTACTAAATTTGTCATTTACAGGAGCTGTCAGTGAAAATTCAAAACATTCCCAACCCTTAAATACTTTGTCTGATCAATTACGAATTAGATATCCATGTTTATGTATCTGTAAACTATTTATTTTCATTTGTGGTTTCTGTGCCAAAGAAATTGTCAGAATTAATCATTTTTCACATACACATTTTTATTACATTAAGGTTTCAAGGGTAACCAATGTAAATCGGGGATTATGGGTACTAAAAATTCTAATAATTTCTCAAGGTGTTCCGTATTGCAAGAATTATGAGGATCTTTAAACTTGCACGAAGGTCTGTTGGTCTACAATCTATTGCCCATACAGGTCTGCAGCATTTAGGTTTAAGAAACAATAATTTACAAAAGGGTTTATTTTTTTAGTTATAGAGGGGGTGGGGGTGCAATAGTTAGTCTTTATAATATAATTGATTGATTGTATAGTAAAGACAACCTTGAAGAAAAAATTATTAGTTGAATACTGAGGACGAGCTGGAAGAATATAATTGATTGATTGTATAGTAAAGAAAGACGAGCTGGAAAAATATGATTGATTGTATAATGAAGACGAGCTGGAAAAATATGATTGATTGATTGTATAATGAAGACGACCCTGGAAGAATATAATTAATGGATTGTATAGTGAAGACGAGCTGGAAGAATATAATTGATTGATTGTATAATGGAGACGACCTGGAAGAATATAATTGATTGATTGTATAGTAAAAAAGAGTTGGAAGTATATAGTTAAATTATTGTAAAGGGCAGACGAGTTGGAATAATATAATTGATTGATTGTGGGTTAGGAAAATATTATTAATTGATTGTGTAGTGAAGATGATGGTATATCCTTTGCTCTAATGTCTGATTGAACTAACGTACATTTGCACTAAGGTTAGCTGACCAGAAACAGGTTTGTATTACGATTAAACATTAGTCCAAATGAACACAAATCGAGCTTTACTGTGTTCATTTGGACTAAAATTTTATCTTCCCGCCAGTGATATTTAGTACAAATGATCATTATTGCAATTGATCTGGAATACTACAAATATTTGTTCAAAGAAACTAATTTTTTTCTGTAATTATTAGTGCAATTGAACGAATTACGTTAGTCCGATCAATCATTACTGCAAACGATATTTCACCGTGAAGACGGGTTGAAAGAATCTAATTGATTGATTGTGTAGTGAAGACGAGTTGGAAGGATTTGGGCCTACTGTTTCTATTGGTTGGAATGGGAATGCTGGTGTTTGGAAGCCTAGAATACTATATAGAGAATGAAGAAGATGATACAGGGTTCACCTCTATTCCTCAGGTTCTTTAAAAGTGCTAAAGAAACAATGGAGGATTTGAATTAATCACTTTTATAGCTAAAAAAATGATTTTAGTCTCATTCTTTATCGGTAACTCAGTATACTAAAAGTAAAATGTCAGTATTAAAGTTTTAATATTTGTATATAAACAAGTAAACAGCTGATTAGTGATTATTCCAGGGAATGTGGTGGGCCGTGCAGACGTTAACATCTCTGGGATATGGGGACTTTGCTCCAACTACATTTCTTGGAAAGGTCAGTGTGCATATGTAGAAAATAAATGAAAAATCATCTTAACCCTGTTTATTCACTAATAAAAGATTATTTCTATTTTATTTAGGCACACATGATTTTTGTAAACCATACTGAAAAAAATTCAGGGTTCATATCTGAATTTCGAAGCTTAATTGGGAAAATTGAAATGGGACTTTGACTATTTGTTATGACACCATAATGAGAGAAATAACGATTATGTTTATGAAATTAATTGTGATGGTGGGGGTGATTTTCTATTAAAATAATTATCCCTGACAAAAATCTACCCTTATTACCAGTGTATTGGTTCCTGCTGTGGAGTGTGTGGCGTCCTTGTCATGGCTCTCCCGATCCCCATCGTCGTCGACAACTTCGCCGACTACTACTCGGAGCAAAAGAAGCTGGAGGCCAAGGATCTTAAGCGCGAAGCTCAAGCGCGCCAGGCAGAGTTTGACGCCAAGGCGAAGACATTTGCTGAGAATGGACTGCTCCGTACCCTGGCTAGTAAACCAGGGGCGTTCTCAAGTCCACCCATGTCCCCGCCTGATGGACTATCAAGGATTAGACTAAATGGAACAGTCGAAAAGAAATTTTAAAATCACTCCAAGAAGATTTTTTGCACACTTAAAAACTATATATATATAAGAACCTCTTTTGAGTATTGCATTCCAGCAAAATATACGTAATTTGTTAAATGTATAAAAAAATGTTTTTTTACTCCAAAAAAAATCTTATTTACACAAAATTTATTTTCTTTAAATGGCTAACAAAAGATATGCAATTCAAGATCAATTAATAAGCAACCAATCATATTCTGATACTTGTATTGTGAAACAGAAGCTCAACATTTGTGCAATATAAAAAAAACATTGTAAAAAGTGACAATCTTATGATATTCTCAGTATTAAAGTTTTCATGTAATTTCTAGTATTAAGACTATGAGGTTAGATAAGCTTTGTGGAACAGAGATTCAGGGTCGAAAAAAATAGTTTTTAAATTTCCGGAGTTATAACACAAAAACTGAGAAAAACAAAGCTAGCTTTATACATAGATTGTCAAATTCAAATTGTTTTAACATAATCAATTTTGCAGTATATACGATTTCTATAAATTTGAAAAAATTACATTTAATTTGCGCAACTGGGATATATTGTAAGGGGGTAAGGATATTTTATATGAGTAAAAACGTATCCATAATTTTTCAGATCGAAATCCTGAATTTTAGATAGATAAAGTCATGTTATAAATTTGCCCCTAGTTTAATCTAAAATGCCACCTTTTTAATCTCCACAGCGCGGGGGTTGTGCACTGGGCACCCTTGAGAAGTTAGGGGAAGACAGCACCCCCCCCCCCTAGTTGCTTCTTTTCCTGTGTTTATCTAAGAGATCCTGATCCTTTCCACATAGTCTTTCTACCAACTGCCACAAAGCATAATTCTGAAAATAAAGTACAGGCCGGCACTATGTACTGTACAGCGAGGGAGTACAGCTCAGTGTACATAAACACCGGTTCAGTGTACATTGCACAATTTACATACTTTACTATTAATACGCAAATTAAACCCTAAGATAAAAACAAATGTAAAAACTTTTAATTTTTAGCACAAAATTCGCTACTAGAGGGTTAACATAAGTTCAGAAATTAATAGATTTTTGTCTAGTTCGTTGTTCCGCAAAAAAAAATACGATGATTTTAACTGTAGTTTAACTCTTTCTTTGTGATTTTTTTAGTTTGTTATTGATTAAACTCGGTTGAAAATATAGTTTATTCTTAAGATTAGATTTTATTAAATATATAGCAGTGAGAACCAGAAAACTGTGGGATAGAAAGGACGACTTTTAATACTTAAGTTCTAGATTTAGGTAGTTCAATGAAAATGAAATAAAACAATTATTCAATATACATATCTAACTAGTAAAGGTATATACATTGTAACAACATCAATTTACACTTAATACTGAAGTAAAATGTCGTATTCTTAGTTCAGTTTTTGGAGTCTCACCCTACACCACTCGAACACCAAGACTTGATCAAACAAATTCTAGCATTCTACGGATTACAGCTCTCCTAGTTGGCATCAACATAATCACCATACAAAATCAAAATTCGTTTACAAGACAATATCTAAATTTTAACTTAATTTCCATGCTTGTTGAGACACTAATTACAGTGTTTTTGTTGTTGTTGTTGAACCAATAACAGGAGAAGTAAACAAACCACGAATTTTCGGAATTATTATTTTTACGATTATTACAAAACAAATCTAATCATTCCGCATTAGGAAATTATTCTTGACAAAACACGCTGTGCTTGCTTCTGTTTTAAATTGTTTATCCCAATCAATATACTAATGCAAGGAAAGTTATTTCAGAGGTGTACGCATTTTTTGTACTGTCTTTGGGCGAAAAAGTAAACACAAAAATAATCAATGAAATGCTCTGGTCACAGGAACCTATTGTGTAAATTATCAAAATTATCAAAATTAAATGCTTTTAACCTCCTCGGATACTGAACGAACACTGATGCATCTATTCTTGTTTACAAATCCCGCCCAGAGAGAACTGGTTTCAATATGTACGCAGAGTATACACTTGCAATAATCTATCCTTGCATTATAACCTTTATCCCAATCATGAAAATGTTCATAAAAAGGCCTAAAATAAAAGAACTTACGAGAGGGTGGTTGGAAATAAACAGGATGAATATGTTTGAATTTATTTCAGAAGGTTTGGTTTAGTATTGAAAACGTAAAATATATTTTGTTACAAAATAGAAAACTGTGCGGGGAAGGTGAGGAATGACCCCCCCTCCCTTCCCGCTAATAGTTGCGCCTTCTAAAATATTGTAAGTTTGACAACAACAAAAAATGCTTATTTTGACCAAACCAAACAGTAAGATTAAAAATACGGAACTCTAAAAAATAATGATTTATTTTTAGACACTTGCATTTTATTATCAAATACATAAAAAAACTAAATAATAACAAAATGAACATTTTTACATCTAGTAAGAGGAAATGGTTAACAAATTTTATATATCTTTGTACTTTTAATAAGTACAAAACATATTCAACAGTTCAAGTCTGGAAGGTCTTTTACTTTACATTAAAACCGGTTTCAATTTAAAGAATAATATTGACGAACGGATTTTGTAAAAAATCAAAGTTTGAATTATCATTGGTTGATAATTCATTTTGCCAAAAAGATTAATATTAGTCTGCAAAATAAATAAAAAATAAACGATGTTGGTACTGAATGAATACAAAATATATTCTTTTCATTTATACAAGTGATTAAATCTAGTCGGCATTTCCGAACAATGCGTACGAAAATAATGATATTAGTTGCAAATATCAAAGTGTGAGTCATTAGTATTATGCTACGCAACTATGCGTAGTGCAAATTTAAGTTTGCGCGATAATTATCATGGTAAGCACTATGTGCATTGTGCGTAGTGCAAATATCAAGATAAATGTGGGTTAACAACCATATTAATAATGGATTGAATCCCTTTAAATACCATGATCTATTGAAAAGTAACAGAAAAATTTGCAGCAATCCTGTTCCGATTTTTTCTTCTCTTCTTCTTCTCTTTCCGCGGTGTTCCTGACTCTGATATTTCAAGTACAGAACTAAGGTTCCCTTCTCCAGGTTTCCCTGAATTTACTGGGTTCCCTTCTCCAGGTCCCCCTGCAAGTATTGGAGAAAGGAGGTGGAAACCTAGGTTACGATTGACCCGATTCTCTGGTTTGGTTCCAGGAGTAGAAGAATTGGCTCCGGATTTAGGATCATCTCTAGATGTAGAATCTACTCCAGGAGTTCTATCCCATCCTTGAATCCAGTTTCTAGGAAGCGCATTCAACCCGGACCTGAGTAAACTTTTTGTAATTAATTCCATTCATTTTTTTCTTATTTATATTGTTTATTATTAAATTCATATCCATATCTTGAGAAAACATTTACATTTTTAACTAAAAACTAAATATTTCTATACATTTATGAACTTTTTATTTGTAGATAATTTATAAGATTCTTAAAGAGACTATAAAGGAGAAATGAAAGGGGGTATAGGATGAAACCTGAGAATCTCAGGAGTTAAGCGATAAATATAAGACATCTATCTGATGTTCCTGTCTAGAGAAATTGATATAAAACTAAAAAAAAATTTTACCACAAGTCAAAAATAGAAGATTTTGTATAAGATTCGAAAGTATTAAACAGATCACATTCAACAATTACGCAACCAATCTGAAAACGACGATATCCCAGAGAAGCCTGAGAAACTCAGATTTGCTCCTGTTATAATTCATAAATTTATTTTTGCGTTTTAAATAGATATAATTAATATTACTTATATATTCGTATAGTCCGTATTACGTAACAAGAACTCCCACCAATGCAGTGCAGTATACTGGTCATGTGATACAGATGGAGACACGTGACAACGATACTGCACTGCCATTGGTGGGAGTTCTGGTCATGTAATACGGACTATAAGGACTAGACGTAATTATATTATCAATTATATCTATTAAAAATTAAAATTATAAATTATAACAGGAGCAAATCTGAGTTTCTCTAGCTTCTCTAGAATATCGTCGTTTTCAAATTGGTGGAATAATTGTTGAATACTACAAATCTAATGCAAAATCTGATATAATTGGTATAATTTTGACACAGTTTTTTAAATCGATTTCCTAAACCAGGAACATCAGATAGATGTTATTATATATTGTTCAATGGCTCACGTACAAAAGGTAGAATTACAAAAGGTAGAATGACAAAAGGTAGAATGACAAAAGGTAGAACAAACAAAAGGTAGAACGATCAAAAGGTAGAATAAACAAAAGGTAGAACGTTCAAATGGTAGAATTTTTTTTATTTTTGAGAAGGAAGAAAAGTTTCCAATTTTTACAAGAAAATCCGCGAATTAAAAAAAAATTCACCAAACTGCATTTCTCGGTTGAATTCAGCATGGAGAGGTTGGTCTACTATGGGGTGAATCAAAAGAAGAAAAGAACATTGATTGACGACCAGAAATATGAATATAATTTTGAGAAAATTAAGAATGGAACAGAGTTCAAACAGCACTGAGAACGCTCGCAAACAAAAACAGAGAGATAAACGTACTAGGATTAAAAACATGACTGAAATGTATAATAATATCCCTGCACCAGACTATATGAAACAGCTTGCCACAATTATGGGCATGGACTAAAATCATGTACATTTGTAAAATAAAAATTAATCCTAATAAATAAGAAACATTATTTTTTGACTTTTTTTTGACATTTAAAAAAAAATTTAATTTGGAAAATTCTACCTTTTGTACGTTCTACCTTTTGTAATTCTACCTTTTGTTTGTTCTACCTTTTGATCGTTCTACCTTTTGTCGTTCTACCTTATGATCGTTCTACCTTTTGTCATTCTACCTTTTGTAATTCTACCTTTTGTAATTCTACCTTTTGTAATTCTACCTTTTGTAATTCTACCTTTTGTAATTCTACCTTTTGTAATTCTACCTTTTGTACTGGAGCCTTGTTCAACTACTGAAATTCTCATGGTTTCAGCATATACCCCCTTTCATTTTTCCTCAACAGTCCCTTTAAAGAAAGGAAAAAAGCTGTTTATACTTTATAGTCAGAATAACCAAATAACGCATTAACTAAGTTTTCAAAAAAATTCACCTTCGGCCTTTAATCATTTTTTCTTTACCAATTCGGCGGTTAAAAACCCCTTTAACTTTATCATTTCTTACCTTGCACACTCTTTCTTATTAGCTGCAGCTAACCGTCTAGCTTCCTTCTCTGCTGACAGAAGCTCTAATTCAGTAGCTGCAAATACTTCTCCTCCAACTAACATTTCTGCAGATTGTCTTGACCGTAAATGTGTAAAGTTTGCTTCTTGTGCACCTCTTTTATAGTCTGGTGTCCGTCTTTGAGCATCTTCTGGTGTGCGTCGTTGAGCAGGTAGTGGTGCGCCTCTTTGGCCATATATGTGTGCCCCTCTCTGAACATTTTCTATACATGTTTGAGCAGGTTTGTTCCAAGAAGTATTGGATTGTGGATCCTGGGGAATAGTGATAATGTCTCTTGACGTTGAAGAGGAAATATTCATCCCTGTGTCAGTATCAGAAACTGACGCATCTAAAATAAAAAAATAAAAATGATAAACTAACAAAACTAATAGAAACAAATGGTCACATTCAAACAGTATTTTCATCATGTTGTATCTGCATCATGGCTTAAAATTGTATCATATAACCTTAAAAACATTGATTCCATAAATGATCTAGAACGTGAACAATGGCTTTTTTCGAAATGGTATACATTAATTTAAACATAATAAGATATCTCAGAAGCACGTTTAAGAATTGAGTAGAAAATGTTGTAATCGTTAAGCTTTAGGGAAAAAGGGTCTAATTCAGACAAAATTTTCTGTTCTATACACTATTTTTTCCTCAAAATTAAGTAAAAAATAAAATTTTAAAACAGCAAATAATTTTTTATCGACTTTTTTCTTACAGTGTCTAAGATTTAATAATTTTCTATTTGAATTTTTATTTTTGTATACTTAAATTCGACTGGAGAATCATATCGTTTAAAGACCAACCAATACTAAAGACCTGTTGTTTTACTTTGCATTTAATTATTTTAGGGTTTAAATCAAGGATAACTTTTTTCCAAAATTTCTACCCCCACCCCTCCCGCAAATAAAAATGCCTTGACGGTTATTTTCTGGCTAAAGGAATTGAATCTTTATTTACAAACTCTCGATTTTCTAATCCCAACTTCTTTGCAACCCAATGTCATATTTCTTAGACATTTTTAACTATGAATTATGAATCTACGTTTAAAATATCAAAGGCTTCACTATCAGGTAGCAAAGATATTGGGATGAGAAAATTTGAGTTTATGACCAAGACTTAATTCCTTTGGGAAAATATATGATGAAGAGTATAAAAATTCCATCACCCAAACCCTGGTTTATCACGTTTTAATATTAACCCGTTCTGAATAGGAAAAATCTAGGACATTTTCTTGCACAACTATCTATATAATAAAGCTCATATCTATATATAAATTTGGCTTGTCTGTCTGTTTGTTTGTTTGTTTGTTTGTTTTGGTGTCTGTATGTTTGTATCCAATAAACGTCAAAACGGCTGAACCGATCGTGCCCAAATTTTTTGTGGGACATCTAGGGACCCCAGGGAAGGTTTATGAATGGTCAAAATTTCAAATATTTGTCTCCATCAAAATGCGATCTCCATTAAATTTTTTAAAATTTTGAAAATCCCCGAAATTTTTTGTGAAAATCCGCGAATTATTTTTCTTTTGTTTTACGATGTACACAAAGAGAACATGTTCACAATTAATTTAGAAGATTGGCGCGAAGCGCCCTCTAAGGCTAGTATATGTATATTGTATATGCATATATATTGTGTATAAATCAGTGAAAACGCAACAACCTTCTTATAACATTTTAATCATATAGCTGGCCAAACGGCTGGACCAAATTGGCTGACATTTTTTGAGGAAACCTATGGGTACTCTGAGCTGGAGTAAGAAAAATCCCACGGGAACGCTGGGCACTACAGCTAGTATTAATTGTTCAATATCAAAAATTGTTCATGTTTTCTTTGATATAAAATTAAACATGGTATCGTTGTGAAACATATTTGACACTTTAGAATAAATCATTCAAAACTACGTCAACAGTCCTTAGAACTTTACCTGAGTCGAACTGATCAGGTTGAGATAGAGCAAACTCCTCCTTCTCGTCCTCCTCCTGCTCTTCTATTACATCTTTATCTTCTTTCAATTCATTATCATCCTTCCCCACCTACAAAACATAAAAAAATCTTTGACCAATAAAGGTTTTTAAACTTTAAAGAAAAAACTTTCAGAAATGCAAATTCCACAGGTAAATAAAGAGGGAAAATTTCCAAATAAAAAAAATGTTAGGGATTTTTATTCTTTTTTAATTTTTCCTTTTTTTTGAAGATTCCATCGATATCCGGAGCGTGCCTCAGAGTCAGAAGGACTAGCTTTCAATAATGAAAAATGTTTTTTAACATTAAAGTTGAAGAAAGAGAAAACAAAACATGTCCGGTTTCTCAAATAATCAATTATTTCTCTCCGAAATGTTTTAACACAGAGAAAAAAAAACATTTCGGTGATTCAAACCTCCATAAAAATATTTTATGCACTTATTTTTTATCATTTTGTAGAAAAAAATATTCTTTAAAAAATTATTTTTTTTAGGTTTTCTTAAGATATAAAATTAAATTGTATAAAAAACGTTTTGACAGTTTTTCTTGAAATTGATTTTATAAAAAATTTTAACCTGTACATATTGTTGTTCAAACAGATCAACCCCCTCTCCTGTTAGCCTGGCTAAAGGTACTACTCCTAGGTTTCTCTTATTCAAAGAGATACCGGAGACTGATGGATTATCGGAGAACTTCTGTAGGTCGGAGACTAAGTTTGAAGAAGCTCCGTGGTTGGGTATCTTTACCAAACCTCCAAGAATATCTGGAGGTTGGTGAATACCCCCCACATAAAAATCAAATTTTATAGGTTGGAATTTGCAAGGTAGGAGGTTGGAAGGTTGGAGGTTGGAAGGTTGGAGGTTGGAAGGTTGGAGGTTGGAAGGTTGGAGAACGAGAGGTTGAAGAATAGAACGTTGGAGGACGGGTGGTTGGAACTTGTCTGGTAAAATGCGGATGTCCTCCTGAAAGAGTGTGATGGGATTTGGAGAAACTGGAGCAGGAGTAGAACCTGGAGCAGGAGTAAAACCTGGAGCGGGAGTAGAATCTGGAGCAGAAGGAGAGCCTGAAGCATGAGAACCAAAGGAAGGAGGAGAGAAGATTGAGTTTCTTGAACTTTGATATTTCACTGAAAGGAGTTCTTTCTCCAAGTATTCAAGGATATACTCCTTCAGCCCTGTATCTTCATCCTGTAATGATTATTATTAAATTCACGACTTCTAGTGCGCTTAGAAATTTGCATTCTTTTTCAAATAAAATTTTTAACTTTTTCTATTTAATTGTCCGTTAACTTTCCCTGGTGTCTTGCGAGATACCAAATCAAATTAGGCCCATCGGTTTATAGCAATTTTGACGTAGCCGACAAGCAACATTATGTTGCGTCACTAGTATTTTCCTTAATCAAATTGGACATCTCCACTATCCCTTTATCTCTACCGATTGATAATTTTTATTAATTTCGTAACAATTGAAATAGATTTTAGTTCCTTAATGTTTCATAACAATTATCCCCAACATAAAATAAAGTGAAATGACATCTCACAAAAAATTTCGAAATATTATTTTTTTTTATGAAAATGGTGTTTGTTAAAATAATCGGAATGCTACAGAAAAAAATTCTTTATTACACCCAAAAGTCTTCAGTTTTCTAAATCATAACTTTGACGGAACAAAATTATGACTCATAGGAGAAATAATTAAATTTTAGAAGAAAAAACATTCCAAAAATAAAACAGCTCTATATTTTGTACCTGAAAATCAAATAAATCTGAAAATATAAACTCCAGTCTCTCCATACCACATTCTATATCGAAGGTAAGGAACTCTGTTCTATTATTAATAAAGAAAAACAAGTTTCTCATCTTTGTAAAATGTTTGAGAACATACTCGGACTCGAATGCAGAGAGAGTGGCGAGGGATATTCTCATATGCTTGAGGTGTTGAAGTGCTGTAATAGATGTAATGAGGGTGGGGGAGGCTTGAATATACTCCCCACTCAGCATAAAATGTGAGTCTGGCATGTCACAAATGTGCTTTAACAATACACATTCCTGCGAAAAATGTGCAGAGGTTGTCATCAAGTAATTTTCAAACATATTTACTTTAAGTCCGACTCTTTGTGCGTCAAGCTTGTCTTCCATACCGCTAACTATCAACAAAGCGTACAATCGTTGCGCATAGAACAGACTTCTTTGTGCAAACCGTCCTGTGTACGCAACCAGTCGGGTCTCGTTATATTGCGTCAATATAAATACATCAGGGTCGTTAAAAGTTTTCTTACGAAGGTAAACACTGTACTCGTCAAGTCGTATGAAACCTTCTTTGCTATGAATGGCTTCAAGTTTCAAGGTTTCAAACAAGTTCTCCGGGTTGTGATAATCCCTGCTTGGTTCAACTGTTCTCTCTTCATCCTTTCTCCGAGATCGATATCGGCTGAGCAGAGACATTAATTCGTCGACTGTAATTCGTTCATCGTATATTTTCAGGTAAGATTTCTGTATTCTGGCCACAGAAATCTCAGTTTTCAAAGATTTGATAATCAAAACTACTCTCACCAGTTTCTCGTCTGTGAAATTATAACATTCATGTTTGCAATTGTAAATGTCAGAATCGGTATCAAAATTTTCTTTCTTTTCGAGTTCTTCTTTGATTTTAACCGCCTGGTCGTATGTTGCAAGTTTGATCTTGAACGTAGTTTCATACTCGTTGTAGATAGTTTCCACCAAGTACTCTCCAACTTTTCTGTACACCAACTCCAGAAACCTAGACTCAGACTCAGCGCTTGGTTTCATCTGAACCTGGTAGGATAACTCAGTTCTTGATTTAAACTCCTCTGTTGCCTCACTCTGCTTCCTATCCCTGATATTTATCCTTCTAGTGATCCTTTCCTTCATCCTGTTTGATAAACTAGGTTGGGGCGGAGGAACAGGTTCATCCAATAAACTGGGAGTATCTCTCACGTTTTGAGAGCTCACCTGGATTCTTTGGTCAAACACGCTATTTCCCATCAATCCTGGAGTATTACGACCAGAGAAATTATTAACGTTCTCTTGGGACGAAAATCTACGGATCCGGTTTCTGTTCCTACTAACTGTCCTTGACCTGTCTCCGGGCCTGGCAGGGATTGATCTAGATCTGTGATTCTGCACGAATATATTCCTTGTACCGATCCTATGGTTGGAGTAAACGTCCTTAAATCTTCTTGCATCCTCAGTGTTTGAGAAGGAGAGTATAGCTGAACCCGACTCACCATCATAGCTCATAATACGTCCTGAAAAATTATTTACTTTCGAGGACAAAAAGTTTTGTGAGTTTACATTTAATCTCTCATCCTCTACCAAACTTGGTAGGTTTGTAATCTTAAGTTGTGTCTCAATATCAGCATTAATATCAGCAACAAGCTTGTTATAGCTCATGGAGCTGTGAGCAAAGGTTTTCAAGGCATCCGCTGTTTTGTGTGGGTAAATGAGCAGTATCTCAACAGATTTGTGAGTTTTAATATCAAAAATATCATCGGTAAAGTCTCCATCTCCTGAGATGAGAACTATTTTTGAATGAGGATGAAGATTAACGAATCGTCTCATCAAAACTTTAAGTTTCTTGTCCGCAGCATTCTTACTGTTTGAGTTCACGTGAAATATATCAACCTGAAAAAAAACAATATTTTTTAACAATATCTTTACAAATCACTTTTATGTCGATATATTTAAGGTTCCATATATATATAGATTAGAATATCCGGTCCACAGAGTACCCTTAAATATTAAATATATTTCGAATTAGAGCTTTTATGGAATATATATTTTCTTGCAAAATCATCACCCCCCCCCCCTCCATTCAAAAACTATTTGTGTTCCCCAATATATATTATAGGGGAAAATAATCTGTTTTACTGGAATAATTTAAAAATTTAGTGCGAAATGTATACCAAAAAAAATCATTTTCATTTTCAGCCATAAGAATTTTTTGATAATCTTTCATTATAAAAAGTTTATATTTGAGTTTTAAAAGTAAAAAGTTTGTTTTTGCAGTTTTTAATTGAATTTTTCCCCTTGGCTCCGAATCCGCATATTTTCGCGGATCCGGATCCAGAAAGCCAAAATGATGCGGATCCTAAGGAACCGGATCCTAGGCACAGCAAAATATTAACACATATTCTACCTGAGCTCTGCCTAAATCATTTAGGATTCCAGGATTCTCTTTCGTAGCATCACAAGCCACGGCAAACTGTATTTCAGTGTATCCATGGAAAAAGGGTAAACTGCGGATTTTTTCACAAACTTCCATTGCGGATTTTCCTCGGGGGATGTTGCAATTTTCAATATCCCAGAAGACACCGAGATGGTTGGATTTATTTACAAGCTGTTCCATTGTTTCTGCAGACACTTATTACTCTGAAAAATACTTGATTCATAAGAACATGAAGGAAGGTGTGTTAAATCGATTTATAAAAAAAAGATGCGAATAAAATCTTATCAAACGTCAAACAATTTACAAAGAATCATGAAATTAATGTTTGTCCCTACACATATACGAGGAAACACGAAATAAAAACAGTAAAAAATTTAAAATTTTAAAAATTGATCGAAATAAACAATTTACAGTAAAAAATCTTAACATTTCTTTTTTAAGTAATGGTAATTTTCTTTTATTTTTATGCACTTAACGGATATTAATCGTGTAAAAATGTGGTAAGCCGATTTATGGGCTCAACAGTATAGGTTCTCTGAATACTGCGCTAGCCGCAGCGCGGCTAAAATTATATCCGGCAATGTCTTAATTACATATAAGATCTATTGATAAAAGAGGGTGGAGGGGGCTTCGATATTATTTCTAACTTTATAACTTTTGTCTTCGCTCTTGATATTTGGAGGGACGCTACGTCAAAAATAATATTAATGCTCTTCGTTTAGAACCTTTTCAACGAGGAGTTCAAACGGAAATTCATTAATCGCGACTGTTTAATCAATTTAAATAAATAAGAATTTTTACAGAAAACGCTCAATAAAATCAAATCCCGATAATGGTCTCCAAAGTGGTCTCCAATCTTCATTTATATCCGTTGATCTCCATATGAACATAACGAAAAGTAATTAAGGACCCCCGCTCGGTAATTTCTTGGGGAACGATTTTTGAAGAACATGGATATAATTGACCATGAGGCCCCAGCGCTCGGCCCCCTAGCCTGTCCTAGCCGCAGCGCTCGGCCCAGAAACTGTCTAAACCTAACCTAACCCTAAATAAATACTAATTTATAATTGGGCTCCGTATTAGTTTACGATTTTTGGACCCCCCCCCCCTCATAACAATTTTGTACATGACGAAATTTAAATTAGTATTTATTTATTATTATTTAGGGTTAGGTTAGATTAAGACACTTTCTGGACCGAGCGCTGCGGATAGGACAGGCTAGGGGGCCGAGCGCTGCGGCCACGGGTTAGGTTAGATAAGACACTTTCAGGGCAGAGCGCTGCGGCTAGGACAGGGTAGGGGGCCGAGCGCTGGGGCCACATGGTCAATAATATCATAATATCCATGTCTAACATATAAGATCCATGTACAAAATTGATAGGAGGGGGGGGGGCCTGCGGGGGGTCCAAAATCGTTCTCTAGGACGGACCACCCCCTTTAATTGAAAATTGTTGAAAAAGTGGCCATGTACAAAATAGATAGGAGAGGGGGGGGGGGCCTGCGGGGGTTCAAAAATCATTCTCTAGGACGGACCACCCCCTCTTCTTGAAAATTAAATTACTTCTATTTCTCGGTCAAAATAATATCCAAATATCTTCTAACTTTCCCGCTACTCTGTTTTCTAAAAACTGATCCATGCTTTACTATTCATAAGTTTCAAAACCGGTTTTCTTCACTCCGTGCGATATTGGTTTTGTTTTCTCTTTTATGCCCGTAACCACACGATTACGAAAACAAAATATTGACGAATGCCGCAACTTATAGTTGAAACGATCATAAGAACTGTTATAGTCGTCTTCTTAGGTGTTAAATCCATACAGTATGCAACATTCAGAGGAAAATGCCGCAAACATTCTTAAAGCGAAACTTGAAACTAAAAAACGTAATATATTTCTAGCACTTAGTGTGGCATATTTATTGATTTATTTTCGAAACTAAGGAGCAATAAAGAAAGCTTTAACAATATTGTACACCATAGGGCCATTAAAAGAGGTCAATATATGGTATTTCAAAGAAATAAACGATTTAATTTTATGCTTTTTTGGTCTGATTACTATTTGAGGAGCGCGCTTGCCGCAAAACAGATTTGGGTGGCGGTGATTACTATTTGAGATCTGGACTCCCTCCCTCGTTGTGAATCAGAATTTTTAATTCTTTTCTTCATCTTTGTAATTTATTAAAAATCCCCCCCTCGTACACCCCTGGACTTAAGACAATTTCTGGGCCGAGCGCTGCGGCTTGGACAGGCTAGGAGGCCGAGCTCCGCGGCTAGGACAGGCTAGGCCGGGGCTAGGCGCTGTGGCCACATGTCCCCACGTGCTAGTAGGTAGGATATGTAATAGCGGATTCGGCGTAGGTTAGAAGTGGAGTACAGCAAGTTTGCGTAGGTCGAAAAATACTCCATCCTGACAGAAATTACGTTGGAGGGGATCATGAAAAGGTTGGAGTGGATATTTGGAAAAGCTGTTGAATTGGATATAAAGGAAAAGTTTGGATTGGATACAGGGAAAAGGTTGCAGGGATATAGAGAAAAAGGTTGGAAGGGATATAGGGAAAAGGTTGGAGGGATATAGGGAAAAGGTTGGAGGGATACAAGGAAAAGGTTGGAGGGATACAGGGAAAAGGTTGGAGGGATATAGGGAAAAGGTTGGAGGGATATAGGGAAAAGGTTGGAGGGATATAGGTAAAAGGTTGGAGGGATATTTGGAAAAGCTGTTGAATTGGATATAAAGGGAAATTTTGGATTGGATACAGGGAAAAGGTTGGAAGGATATAGAGAAAAAGGTTGGAAGGGATATAGGGAAAAGGTTGGAGGGATATAGGGAAAAGGTTGGAGGGATACAGGGAAAAGGTTGGAGGGATATTTGGAAAAGCTGTTGAATTGGATATAAAGGGAAAGTTTGGATTGGATACAGCCCAAGTAACAATTTGGCGGAAAATCCGCGGAAATTCCCAGGAATCTTTCACAGGAAAATCCGGTGAAAATGTCGACAGATTTTCCCAGGAATTTCTCGTAACCCATTCTGAGGAACCAGGTCCGAGGAATTTCTTGTAACCCATTCCGAGGAATTTCTTGTAACCCATTCCGAGGAATTTCTTGTAACCCATTCCGAGGAAATTCTTGTAACTCTTTTTTTAAAAGATGGTTCTGAAGTAAATTATCATTTTTTATCAATAAGGATGCAAAGACAAAAAGATTTAGTTTGAGCAGTGCATAAAGAAAACCTCAGAGACACCTATTGGTGAAAAACGGAACTTGAAAATTCTTAGGAATTTCTTGAGAAAAATTCCTGAGAAATTCTCAGGAATTTCTCGAAACTTATCCTCTTATCTAATTCCCGAAAAATCCGTAAACTTGGTGACCAAGTTTTAAGAATTTCTCGGGAATTTCCGGAGAAGCATTCCGGAGAATTTCTCAGGAATTTCTTTGTGTGAAATTCCGGAGAAATTCCCAGGAATTTCTCGAAACTAATACTTTTTTAAATTCCCCTTAAAATCTTAAAATCCCTAAATATGGTGACCAAGTCCTAAGAATTTCTCAGGAATTTCCGGAGAAGTAGTCAGGAGAATTTCTCAGGAATTTCTTGGGGTGAAATTCTGGAGAAATTCCCAGGAATTTCTCGAAACTAATTCTCTTAATAAATTCCCCAAAAATTCCGTAAACATGGTGACAAAGACCTAAGAATTTCTCAGGAATTTCCAGAGAATATTCCTGGAGAAATTCTGAGGAATTTTGTGGGAAAAAATTCCGGAGAATTTCTCAGGAATTTCTCGAAACTGAGTCTCAAAACTGTGATCCCACAAAAATCTCTCATCTTGAAAGATTGGAGGGATATAGGGAAAAGGTTGGAGGGATATAGGGGAAAAGGTTGGAGGGATACAGGGAAAAGGTTGGAGGAATACAGGGAAAAGGTTGGAGGGATACAGGGAAAAGGTTGGAAGGATACAGGGAAAAGTTTGGATTGGATATAGGGAAAAGGTTGGAGGGATACAAGGAAAATGTTTGATGGATATAGGAAAAAGGTTGGAGGGATACAGGGTAAAGGTTGGAGGGATACAGGGAAAAGGTTGGAGGAATACAGGGAAAAGGTTGGAAGGATACAGGGAAAAGTTTGGATTGGATATAGGGAAAAGGTTGTAGGGATATAAGGAAAAGGTTGGAGGGATATAGAGAAAAAAATTGGAAGGGATGTAGGGAAAAGGTTGGAGGGATATAGGGAAAAGGTTGCAGGGATATAGGGAAAAGGTTGGAGGTATATAGGGAAAAGGTTGGAGGGATATAGGGAAAACCCAAGTAACAAAAGTGAGGAATTTCCCCAGATTCTCCAACCGTGGTGACTTTCTTTGAAAAATTTCCTGGGAATTTCTCGAGAATCATTTCCTGCAACTGATTCCTTGGAAATTCTCAAGAAATTCTCCAGAATTGGTCCCCAAGATGAGAAATTTTTTCGGGATCTCAGTTTTGAGACTCAGTTTCAAGAAATTCCCGAGAAATTCCTGAGAAATTCTTAGGACTTGGTCAACATGTTTACGTATTTTTAGGGGAATTTATTAAGAGAATTAGTTTCGGGAAATTCTTAGAAATTTCTCCGGAATTTCATCCCAAGAAATTCCTGAGAAATTCTCCTGAATGCTTCTCTGGTAATTCCTGAGAAATTCTTTGGACTTGGTCACCAAGTTTACGGATTTTTAGGGGAATTAAATAAGAGAATAAGTTTCGAGAAATTTCTGAGAAATTCTCTGGAATTGTTCTCAAAAATTCCTAAGAATTTCTCAGGAAATTTTTTCCGGAAATTCCTGAGAAATTCTCAGGACTTCACCACAGAATTTTTAAGTTCCGTTTTTCTCCAATAGGTGTCTCTGAGGTTCTTTTCTATTATGCACTGCTCTAACTAAATCTTTTTTTCTTTGCATCCTCATTGATAAAAAATGATAATTTACTTAAGAACCATCTTTTTAAAAAAAATTTTGAAATTTTTTTTCATTTTATTATTTTTTCTTGACAATTCAGTTGTCTGAATAAACAAAGTATGTGACAACTTCAGTAAGATTAAAAACAACTATAACATTCTGACTTAAGAAGATGGTTATACTTCTAAAAAGTTGGAGGGGAAAATATAGTTCTTAAGTTATTCACTACTATTGGGCCTAAGTCCTGGCTAGTGAATTTACACAGGAATATGCAGATATTCCTGAGGA